TGTGTGTGTGTGTGTGTGTGTGTGTGTGTGTGTGTGTGTGTGTGTGTCTACGTCAGAGGCTAATGTTAGGTATTAATTTTCAGATGCTGTGTGTGGTGTGTGTGTGTTATTCCTTAGATTCTGTGTTTGGTCTGTGTTCACGTGTGCATGAATGTGTGCACGTGTGTGTGTGTAGGGAGTGTCTGTCTGTCTGTCTGTCTATGTCAGCAGCTAATCTCAGGAACTCTTCGTCAGCTGCTGTCTGTTTCACTTTGTGTGACAGTCTCTCACAGTGTGGTGCTCACCAGGCAGGCTGAGAGGCTAACCAACAGGCCTTAGGAATCCACCTGTGTCTGTCTATGAGCATAGGATTCCGAGTGTGTACCACCATGCCCTGCTTTTTAACGCAGATTCTGTGGCTCCAACTCAGGCCCACAAGCTTGCAAGACCAGCACTAAAAAAAAAAAAAAAAAAAAAAGATGAACGCTCACGCTCTAGTTGTGTGGTTTTGTATCCAGCGACCTCCTTTGACCATTTTGCTCTCTCTTTAGTAGGCTACAAGTACAGGGAAGGCCAAGCCTGCAATTATCATTATTTGCCCCTGGAGCTAGACAGGCTCTTAATGTCTGTGGTAAAGACAGAAGGTTAGCACCAATAGGTGTGTCAATAAGCTGAGCTATGTCTCCTGCTCAATGTGTAGGGCTAATTACTTGCTTGGCCATATGTCTCGAGGGAGTACCTCCCTGCCTGAAAGAACACCGTCTCTCTAAGCACGTTGTCTATACCACACAGCAAGAGGTAGGAAGCGCTTCTGTCTCCCCAGGGGAGAAAAGGTCCTGGAAGTAGTCCCTCACTGCCTTGTGTGAGTTTGCTGACAATTATGGAAGAGTTTAAAGGAAAGGGCTTGTGTGGTTTTGGCAGGTATGGTGTTGGGTAACAGAAAAACCAGAATAAACAGTGAAATCGCCAGGAAGATAGGAGAAGTCATGGGGAATTGGTTAGTGACAAGGACAGGGTTGAGGACCTGGCAGTGAGACAGAGGGATTTGGTGGAAGACAGGAAGTTTGGGAAAGGGAAATGAAACTGAAGAGCTAAGTGGTAAAGTTTTAAGATGTCCAGCCTTCATTTTCTTTAATGACAGAGATTTGGGATTTGACCCCACATCTTTTGAAAGTTTTCTATAGAGTGATCTGAAGCACATTATTTCATCTTTTAGGGGTGTTAAATTTCCTCATCTAGTATTGAATAGCTTGTCTTTAACTTCTTTACAAGGTCTAATTAGCCAAAGGAAAGGGAAAGAAAGAGGTGTGTGAGAGAGAGGGGGTTAACTCTGTCTGTGTGTACATGTATGTGGTGTGTGTGTGTATGTGTGGTATATGAGATGTGTGTTTGATATGTGTGATGTGTGTGTGTGGCATATGTGTCTATATGTACATGTGTTGCTGTGTGGTATGTGTGTATGTATGTGTTACAGAGGGAAATGCAGAAAAGAAAGAAAAAAAGAATGAATGAATGAATGAGACTCCTATAAGGCAGTAGCCAACACAGACTTCTGTGATTAACTGTGTCAAAGTATGAATAGCTTTTCTAGGACAGTGTCTCACAGCATCTCAAGAGACAGCTCCCAGGTGCTCTGCTCATGTGAGGATTCAGTTGTCTAAGACAAAGTCTCCCAAATGATGGGATATTACAAAAACCATCAGTTCCGGGGTCTTCCATCATTGTGGTCACTGGTTCTCAGAATGTGGAGATAAATAGCTTAAAGCTGGCATCAGAAGTAGTTACGTGTTTTAGGTATTGCAATGAAAGAATGCTAAGCCTTCATAAGTAGGGAATACTCATATGGGAGCAGGTCCCAAATGTTTTTGAACCATTAGAAAGTCAATCCACAAATTTTCATGAACAGTTGTAGGACGCAAATGGTTGCATGAATTCAGTGAGCTTTGTCTTACTTCCAGAGAGGAAAGCATGGAGAAGGAGGGTCTTAGGAACTCTGGGGTGTGGTGTGGAAGGAAAGGAGGAACTCATGTGGTTGGGAAAAGTCTTCCTAAATGTGAGAAACAGCACCATCAAAAGTGGTGGTAGAGGGTGCCGGAGAGTTGGCTCAGTGATTAAGAGAACTTGTTTTTCTTGCAGAGGACCAAGGTTTGATTCCCAAAACCAACACAGTGGCTCACAACCATCCATACCCCCAGTTCCAGGAGTCAGACATCCTCTTCTGACCCCCACACTCTCCAGGTACAGACACGTGCACATAAACACATTCAGGCCAAACATTCAATGCACATAAAGTTAGATAAATACATCTAAACAATAATTTTGAAAAAGGTGATGGTTGACATACCCAAGGCCTGTGCAGCACACAAGGAAGGGCCCAGGGCTGCAGAAGCTTGATATAGCACTGGAGAAGGAGTTCAAGATTGAACCAGAAGAGCTGGCGGTCCTCTCAGTTGGACAAGAAGACACGCAGAGCAGGAACAGGGGTGGACTGCTTCTTGAGAGTGGTAGTGATGGTGGTGCTGCAAATTTGGAAAGGCATGTCAAGTGTCCTGTTCATACTCCAGCAGCCATGAGGCAACACACACTTCTGGCCTGTGATGTATGCACATCTCTGTCCGTGGAGGAAGTTGCTTGCTAGTACTCACTAAAAGACATGGGAGACATATGAGCCTCTTTCTGAAGAGCACCGAGCCCTGCCTGAGGTGCAGTTCTGAAGTCCTACTTGTCAACAAGCCTAGTCAGGTGCAGTTACCAAATATACACACGCAACTATGTTTATTGTCAAACAATATACCCTGTTATCTGTGGACACAGAGATCAGAAACCAGCTGGAATTTCTTCTATTTTGCAATGTCTTACAAAACAAAAGAAAGGGTGAAAGGATTGGTGAACCTACCCTACTCTGTAAGGTGATTCAAGATGTGGGTTGTAATCCATTAACGTATTCTCCATTTTTCCATGAGGGCATTCTGAGGTAGATAGTATACACCAAACTTAATAGTACCAAACCCCACATATACTGATGATAAAGTTTAATTTATAAATTAGATTAACAAAGGTAACTCTTCAGAGCTCATCAGCTTCAACATACATGATTTTCTTTTTCTCTTTTTTAAATTAAAGTAGTACTTTTTGGCTTCTCTTTGTTATATTCAGTTTGCCAGCATAAATACGCTTGCACTTTGGAGTCATTGCTAAGTAATGTAAAGATTACTCACGTAGAACCGCTATGGCCCCCTGACAGTTGGTTTGATCATCAAGCTTCATACGAGTAAGAAAAGAAAGAGAGACATATTCAGTGTGCATCTGCTGGACAACTGTGTCCTGTGTGACACTGAGGT